ATTATGCTCATTGTGTGCAAATGCCTGGCTTACGTCATTATCTTCAGATTGTTTCCTCTAAGTAGCTGCTCAACTTTGGTAATGCTATTTTTATTTCTTTCTAAGAAACAAGGAAAGCTAGAGAAGCTAGCTTCTCTGCAAGAGGCTAGGGAAACATCGTTTTGTCTTCTCCAGAAGAACATCAGTAATTATTAAAATAATAAATAAAAAAGCTCAAGTGAAATGAAACCTTAAAGCTTTTCAGAAAAATTGCCACTGTCTCAGAGTTGTGTGAAACAATTAAATACTTGCTTTCTGCGGTTTTGGATGTATTTAGGGTAAACAATGCAGGCTTTACTGTAATACGTTAAGGAACAAAACCTAAAAGAAAACCTTGCAGCTTGCAGAGTGAGCAACTGAGTACGTAAACCTGTGGAAGTCTGGAAGTTGGTTGGCTCCTCCAGAGCCAGTATCAAAGTGCGCCCAGTTTTCTTCAACTTGAGAAGTTGAAACTGTTCTTAAATCTACTTTAACCTCCGTTTTTACAAGCTGGCTCATGAGGAGTTCAATGTTGCAATATAGGTTACTGAGTCCTCATATTTTCTGCTGGTTTCTAATCAAAAAAGCAACCGTATGTATCAGAAGGGGAAAATATTACGGCAGTTGTAATCGGCAGATTATTAATAATGCTTTATCCTTTCAAGAACGTCTGAAGGCCAATGATGTATACAGGGTATGTTGACAGTATTAGAGCAAGTTTCACTTATGATGTTAATAGGACTTTGAATCTAGTCTTTGAAGCCGAAAGGAAAATTGGTAACCTGCAGTGCTACAGAAAGTTACTTGAATGCTAAACACAGTGCTTTTAACGATACACAAAGGATAGATTTTTGCACTAGCTTCAGTGAATCTGGTTTGTAGCATTCAGTTATTCTGTTGAGCAATGGTTTCTGAAAGAATGAAATCCCTTTATCCCTTATGTGACATGTGCAATTCTCTTATTAACAACACTTTCACAAGAATCTTTTGGGGTTAAAGATAAGATTTAGCAGTTGTGACGTTACCAAAGGGCAGCGGTTCTGCCAGACGCTTCTTGGGGGACTGGAAGCTGGTTCTGTCATAATGGTAAAGCATGCACAATGTAAAGAACAGCAGGTCCACGTCTTATTTTAAGTTTTAATTTATTCATTTGTCAGTCTTCAAACAGATATTTTGCCTCTTTTGTGCCTATACTCTTCAGGGACTATGAACTCCTTTTCAAATTTGCTAACAAGTTTTTTAAGTTCTTGGAGAATACTTATATTGACAATAGAAAAATGCAAGGACCTCCAATGACAGAACTGTACTGCTGAGGGAATGTAGTATAGTTTTGGCCACTATTCTAAGATGAAAGGACTTTATTCATGTGCCTTCTCTCACCAAAAGGAAATTTGTCACTAATATATGTGAATGTCTATCCTTCTGGAGGAAAAATAAGGATGACAGTATAACAGAAGAAGGCTTTACAGTGAAGAGGTCGTCTTTTTAGCCAGAGTAGAACTTGGCAGTATAGTTGACCTAAGGCAGTATCTCAGGGAATCACTTCTCTTTAAGTGTAGATCAGTGTGAAACTAAGAGAGTCACACATTCAGAGAGCTGGTCAATAGACTTCCTTTGGGTTGTCGCTTGCTCTTGATTAAAGAAAGCTTTTTGGTAGATAAAGATTACGGCTGTCTGCTATAAAGCATTCAGGTGATCCCAGAGGATTTAAATAAGCTTACTGCACATATAATGCTAAAATATGTTAATTCTTTCTGGTGCAGAACGAGTTGGAGATGATGCTACAGCCTAATTTGAATCGAGTTCTTAGTAGGTTTTGAAACTGCTTTACTGAATGACAAATGTTAACAGTCTCTGGAGAGTGTAAATACTCTTAACAAAAGCTGGAAGTTTTGCCTGAGTAATCCAAATGCCAGCATGCTTGCATTACATCTTGGTGGCCTAAATAAGTATTACTTCATTTGCGTAGTAACCGATTCTAATCTGCAGGAGGAAGGAGAACTAACTAGGGTGCTGTCTCTGTTGGGTTCCGGTTCACTTGAGCATACCAGCTGTTCTTCCCTTGTGCTGCAAACTTGAGAATGCTTATAGATCCATCCATGCAGTAGTATTGAAAAGGCAGGTGACTGTTAAAAGAAAGAAGTGCTTTTTACCACCCTTGGACCTCTTGCTCTCTGAAGTTGCTTCCTTGGGCAGCACGTTATAGTCCTGAAAGAGGTTTTAACCCTTGACGTTAAAACAAAAACCTGAGACTTGTCCTTTTGTTTTTGCTTGCAAGTTAGAAGGTAGTAACAATCTGAACCTTTACTTTAAAACTAAGCAGACTCACCTGGTCAGTGTAAAAGATGAGCCTTCAGAAGAACAGTAGAGACGAACTTAATTCGTTGAGGGGGTTGTCTTTTTTTCTTTTTCGCTTGGCAACAAGGAAAACAACTGGATGAAAATAAAAATGACAGAATAGGTTTTACATTCTTTACCCCATCCTTGAATTCACTGTATTGTAGTAGTGACTGAACACAGATAATGAAGTAATGCTAACTAAAGTGAAAGCAAAAATAAAACACATCCGGAGAGTACCTGCTATTATATGAGATGTTTTCAAGTCAAACCAGCTGTCTTTGCCTGTACTGGCAACAAACAAAAAGGACAAGTGAGGTGAACTGTTGAGAAAGTTATGTGCACACAATCTAAATTATATTGCAATTAAAACTGCTTTCTTAGGTCTCATATCAATAACAAGGCTCTCCTCTGTGAGATTACTCTGCTTATACTCTTCTTCTAGTATTTAATTATTTTTCAGTAACACAATGTTATTTTACAGATGGCAGAAGATTTTTATGATTCCTCTATGGAGCAAAATGGCATTTTTTTGGAACAAGACATTCCTTACGATAATAGTTTTATTGATCGTCTTGTTTCTTGGTAAGTGTTGAATAATGTCTTAACAAATGGAAAAATTTAGCAGGTGCGTGGGGTTTGTGGCAGCAGATTGATTGGAAGGATTCAAGCCTAATGGAAGACACTTTAATTGTTTAAAAGTTCTGCAGCAGATTGGAAGAGGTGGAGAGGACTTACACTGCGTTCCTGAGTGAATGCTGCGAATCCAGGTGCTATAGTAATATAGCAGTGAATGAGGAGGAAAAAGGGAACTGCATCTAGGCTGCTGCTTGGTTTCACTTTCTTACACAGGCAAAACGAGCTCGAAAGGTTTGGTACCAGTGTTTGGCTGAGCTCCTCAGCCTGCAGTAGGTGGCACTCTTTCTCCCAGTTGCTCTCAAAATGACGCATGAGAAAAAAATGGCAAAGCTATTGAGGTACTCTTACTCAGCACAGATATAAACCGGCTGTTGGCTACATTTGTTATGAGTAGGTCCTGAGTTCTCTAAAGTAGGAGTAAAGCTTTAGTGAAATGTGAGCTGGAATGATGACAGAATTCATTTAATGTCTGTCCTGACCGCTTTGCATGGTTTGTGTATTGTTTAGTATCTTCTGCATTTCAGCGATAGAAATAGTTCCCCAACGTGGATAGGAGAGAAGTGTTTACAGTGCTTTACAATGCAAAATGCAATGTAATTCCGAGTTAATTTAGATACAAAGAAAAAATGCATAGTTTTTTGTCTGTGCTGAGAGAAACACGCAAATGCACTGCGTAGACAACAAGGTCACAGCAGACCGCAATACTATATTTCTGATAATAAACAAAATACTAGAAATGCAAATGAACACTTTTGTCACATGTTTCTGAGCATCTGTTTATTTTAGATCTTTAGTATCTTTAGCAGTCGATTCTGCAATAAATGGCTTAAGATTGAAAAGTGGTGGATTTCAGTTACTCTCCTTGAACTCCAGTCAGAAACTTTGACCAAAGTTTACTTCTGAGTTGGTGATAGTCGTTGATGTTTGACAAAAGGCAGACTTGGGTAAAGTAAAGCAATATAGCCCTAGTATAAGATGATAAATTAGCGTAGGACTCAAATTTTCCCATAACAAGGCAGTATGGAATTTTGTCTGATCTTAGTCTTCATTGTATTTTTCGAAGTTTCAGTCCAAATTAGTGTTCGAAATTTCACTTCAGAAATATGTATCTTTTAATAACTTATGAACATGTGAAAGAGATGGTCATAACTGGTGTTACTCACACATGTTTATCTGTAAAGTTGATTTTTGCCTGCTAGGGAAATGCAGCAGCAATTTATTGCTGCAGGCACTAAAGGCGGGACATGAAGAGTGTGTTTTTGTTGATGATCTTAGATGTTGTATTAGCAACATCCGTATGGTGACCTTTTAAGTTTGTAGATAGTAATGTGAAATCTCACTGGGTCAGCTTTTGTTTCTGTATTCCCTTCAGGAGCATATAGTGGGGCAGATGAAGGGTAGCTAACGTGTAGCTTAGGCCATTGGTTCTGTTTCTGTTCAGCACTGTGTTATTACAGTCTTCCTTTTTTGATGACTGTTATTGAAATCGGTAAGATGTTTTTTCCCTGCAATTCAAGCATAAAATAGATACTTCTGTCATTACTAAAACACATACTTAGCTTAAAAAAAATCCATATGAGGCAAATACTTCAGAAGGAGTCTCTTCTTTTTCCTTTCTCCTTCCATCTTCTTACTGTTTGTCCCCTGGCTGGGTTTTAATTCAGATTGACAGCAGTGACTTCTTGACACTGTCTGTAGGGTCTCTGATAACATTTGTAGAATGCGTTGCTTTGGCCTGATTCCCGATGGCCGAGTGCAAGCATTGCCCCAAACCTGTTTAAGCGGTCATTTCCAATGACTGGGCGTAAGTCCAGAACTGTGTTATTGCTTCAGTGATTTATCGAGGTTTATCATTAAAGTGTATGGATAACACAAATGATGCTACTGCTTGTGCTATGCCTGTTCATTGAGCAGAAAGTTCAAATACGTATTTCTGGTATGATGTCTGGTTCATCCTACATGTGTACCAACAAATGTGGATAAAAACAATGTTTTTTTTATTTACAGATGCTATTAGAGAAGTTAAGAAGTACTCAGCTGCTCATGCGAGTGAAAAGGCTGCAAATGTCAATACCAGTGCCTTTGATCATACTCAGATGAAACTCTTCCGATTTTTTAAAAAACCTTTATCTCTCAGGTTTTTCCTTATTTTTTTGGCTGTAAGTATAACACTTCTCTGATTTCTGCATAGCGCGATTCTTACAAAGCTATTGCGCAGAGTAACCCAATTAGAAGAAAGATCAGAAGGCTGATTTCAAGAGATTAAAAGAATTAAGCAGATGGGCTATGAGGCAAATGAGATCAGGAAAAATAATATTTTATAGATGTTTGAAGATTGGAAAGATATGTGAACAACACATGGAAAGAAACATTTTGAGTGTATGAGAAAACATTTATTTTGAAGGAGAAGTTTCTTCAGGGAATACTTATTTCCTTCCTTAAACTTATTCCCTGTGTCGTTTTTTTAAACAAAGAAAATTGGAGTTTAAAAAAAAGCCCCCAAACTAAAACATTCTTAAAATAATCCTAATATGTTGCAAGCTGGTATTATTGCATCCTACTGTGTTAAGAAGCAAGCTTGAGTCTGACTTTAACTGTTTCATCTAAGACTCAAGAGTTAGGAACTGTAGGATAATGTTTCATTTTCCAACGAAGGTTTCATGTTATTTCAGATCAAGCACTTTGACAGCTGGCCTACTGTGAGATTATACTCTTAAATTTGGTAATGCTTTGGGGGTGTTTTAAATACAGCTAGTAGCACAGGATAACAGAAAGGAACGTTTTACATCAGCCAGTAGCAGCCAAGACTACCAGCAAATCTTTTGCAGGTAGTCTTGGCTGCTGAGATCTTCTCAGTTGAGCGGGGAACACCTGAACTAGTTGGACAAATAACGTGAATAAATAGGAATAGGAGTGCTGATCAGAAGGTTTCCTACTTGCACGTTTTATGGTGGTACTGAGCAAAGAATGCTGGCCTGTTTCTGTAGCTCCTCCAGTGATTTGCTTGACGTTCCTTAAGCGCAAGAAAATGCCTGGAATTACAGAGACCTGGGACAAAGTTCTTCCACTTTTACTGATGTATTGCCATTTTTAGCTGACTGTTACCAGGAGAAGCTCATGAGGAGCATTGTACACATATTTGTGTCAGAGGAAAATTCATACAAAACTTTAGCAGGAAAAT